CTTCTTTCTTTCGTTCGTCCTCTCGTTCTTCTCTCTCTCTCTCTCTCTCTCTCTCTCTCGGCCCGCCATCATCTCCTTCATGAGAGGCTAAATCATTGCAGAAGCCTATGTTTCAGGCCCAATTCTGCAACTCCTCTGAAGATCTAGGGTACCCTGTAATGATCCTTGCTTGGTGAATCTATGTGTAATTCGCAGGCCTGGATTTACCTTGGGGTTTCTCGTTCTTGGATGTATCTGGGGGTTTCCTGGTTCGAGGGCAAGGATAAATGCCCGCCTCCAAAGAATTAGGGTTTTCTGGTTTGCTCTTGCTGGTTGTTCTGGTTAGCTTCGTGATCCGCCAAAAATGGCGGACTTCTGTTGCAAGGAAAGAGGAGATTAGGAAGCTCGTTGTTCTTGCTGCTGAGGAAGCTGCTCGTGCTGAGCTTGAAGCATCCGTTGAGTACAATTCAGTTGTTTCAGTTTGTCGACAGAGGTGCGCCGTGTGTTTCTCTCCCACTACAACTAGGTGCTCGAGGTGCAAGGCCGTGAAATACTGGTTAGTTGTGACTTAACCCTTATTCTGATTCTTCTTTGTTTTGGTTCTGGTAGAATGAGGAATTAGGGTGTTGGTGGGTTTTGGTGGTGTGTGTTGTCTGTGAGGCTCTTCTGGGTGTAATTAGGGTTTTTGTTTTGGGGGTTATGCATTAAAGAATGGGGTTTTCGAATGGCATACATGTATGGGTCATGCATGTACAATTGTCATGTTTACGGGATTGGGGATTGGGGATTTTGGTATTTAGTTTGCTTCCATAGATTATTGGGCACGATGCAATGAAACATTCTTTAATGGAAAGGACAAGGAAGGAAATTATAGGGATGAATGAATTTGAGCGCGCACCCACAAAGCTTGAGGTTCTAAACATAGTTTTGGGGAAAATTTCATGATGCCTTGCACAAATTTCCAATTGGTTATAATTGATAGCGTGGTGGACTCTGTAAATTTCATCCCACCTGAAATTTCCCCTTTTTTGTACGAACTGTTATTGAGCTATAAAATTACCAATTATGTAGCTAATGTTATTGAATTTGTGCAAAAAACGATATATATATATAAAAAAACACATGTTGGATCTTTTTTTGGGTGGCAATTTTGGATAAGAATCTGTTTATTCTGTCAGTTCACATTTAGTGTGATGTAATTTGCAGCTCTGGTAAGTGTCAGATTATCCACTGGCGACAAGGTCATAAAGAGGGGTGCCACCCTCCGAATCCAGAAACTGATTGTAGTTCCTTTAGTCGAAGTTCCTCGCGTTCTGGTTCAGAAGCTAAGTCAGAAAATTCATTTTCTTTTAATAAATGCACAGACTCTGAAGAAGATCATCACTTCAAAGCTTCCATAATTTCGTCGGAACCACGTGATTCCTTTGAAGCAAGCTTCTCTCCTGTTTCCACAAGTGAAAATGAGACGATTGCAGCCAAGCCTGATGAACGCACCCATGAAACTTCAGGCCCTATTACCGAAATCCCTAATTTTAGCACGTCTAGTGACCATTCCATGCATGATTTCATGGGTCCTGTGCCTGATATTGCTTGTGAGACCACTGTATTGAACAATTTGGTTGGAACAAGTGGGCTTTCATATGATGAGTCTCCCTCGAACCCAACTGTCAAAACCCATAAAGTCGATACAATCAGCAATACTGAATCACCACCATTTGAGTTTAAGTTATTAAACAATTCTCCATCATTTAGGTTGAAACATAAGGAGAAGGCACCCAATTCGGGTGTTTCTTCCCATGGGGAAGATGGCGTTTGTGAGAATGGTGATATTTCTGATGCTACAGAAGCTACAACTGAGTGTAAGCAGTCTAGTCCTGATCCAGTTGAGGCTCCACAAACATCGGATCGTGAACAATGTGGCTTTTCTGGTTCAGAAAATGGAAATAGTGTTCGTTTTGATTCTGTTTCTCTGCAGTCACCCCATTCTAGTTCATCAAGTGAAGGTGATTCTTCTGTGTTTATACGCTCTAGTTCTAGCAGAAAGGCTCCTGACCGTAATGATGGCCATGAACAAGGAAGGCCCATGAGTAATATGGTTCCCAATATGTCTCAGTCAACAAGAATGTCAAATTTTACCCATTTGAGATCCAAGTCTGTGGACTCTGTAAAGGTTTTTTCTTTGCCAAAGGAGTCAAATGATGAGGGGCGAGTGCCAAAGTTTAGATGGCAAAGATTCACTTCATCTGGTCACTCATCTTATGGTGATGGAAGAGGTAGTGCTTCATCCAAGGCCAATTACACTGAAGTGTTATCCACTGGTTCAAGCCAAGCAGCATCACCAGTATCTAATGGTATTAGTGGTGGTTTGAGGACATCTGTAAGGAAGGTTGTTCAACAGTTTAGAGTCTCAAAGCTTTCGAAACACAATCCTATGTTTCTTGCAAATGAGGTGGCAAGGAAACCCAGCAAGGTGCACTACTTTTATTCTTTTGTCTTCCTCTAGACGATTCATATGATGCAAGTAAACTAGTGTCTAAATGCATGGAAAATGGGCTAGATCACTGAGCTTATTTTAACTTTGTCAGATGTTGTTTCCATATGATATGTTTGCCAAACTTTACAACTGGGAGAGAGTGGAGCTATGGCCATGTGGCCTTACAAACTGTGGCAACAGGTATTTTTGTTTCTTATTGTTTGCGGAAATGTTTCTGTTGATGAAGATGGCTTCAGTTTGTTCTTGCATTCTATCTACCTTTCTTTTTTTTTCCAGTTAGATTGACCTTTTATGCAGTTCACTTACTGGTTTCTTTATTGATCATGTCTCCTTATAAACCTGGATGACTAGCGATTGCAGAAACGGCTTTTTGCGTCAGTTTCTTTGCCGATAAACTTCCAATAATGCAATTACTACTGAAAAAAAGAGCCATATGTTGCTTGTATAAAGACATTGCTTTGCTATGTAACACTATTTCATGCAGGAGGAATCCATTTTAAATATGTTGGTGGTCTACCATCATTTTGGACTGGAATGAGCTAGTTTATTGATCACTGTTTGAATTGGGAGCTGAACAGTTAAACTTGAACATACGTAACAGTGGAGCTGGACATTTCTGAGTAATGACCTGGCTGAACTAATTAACCAAACCTGGGTTCCATATTAGCTAACAGGTTGTACCAAGTGATTGTACCTGACTACCATGATTGTACCTGACTACCAGAGATTGTCAGATTGGTGAATTCTGATACACTAAACATTGAAGCCTACCTCGACCCCTAAGTTTTGAAATTAAATTAGCATATACTCATCTCCAAACGAATTGGTTAGCCAGATTGTCTTTGTTCTGTCTGGGTTTCAGAAGAAAGAATATCCTTTGGTTGCAAAATTATCTGGATATGCCCCTATAAAGTTATGATGACTCATTTACTTCGATGTGAAGTAACATCTGTCTTTCTGCTGAATCTTTTACTTGCATTATTTTGAATCTATTTTCTTTCTTGGAAATTTTTTTTGGGTGTTTATTTGTCCTTACCTGGTGCTGGCAATAAAAAATACGCACTGAACATGGATTTCATGTTCTCACAACTTCATAGAAATGGGAAATAAATATTGTGGAAGGCTGATTATAGTAATCCCAGGGAATTATTGTTTACCTTGTAAATTTCTTGCAATGTTATTTTGAGATACATAGAAGGCCTACCCACATTCCCTTACTTATGCCCAACTGCCCAGTGCTTCTATTTTGTGATCCAAGTGAAGCCTTCCTATGCATCAGAATTTTAGGGGCTTGTTGGATACCCTTTGTCCACTATCTCTTATATGCATACATTTTTGTTAAGACTTGAAAGTTAAGTCAACTTTTCTAGTGTGGTTATGGGTTTGTATCTTTAGGGCTTGAAAGATACATGGTTTCTGCTTGAAGCAACAGGCAAGTGACAGTATCTATGGGACCAGTACCTTTTTGGGTATAATCTATTGGCAATATGCATGTTACAGTGTGTCAATTTAGTACAATTTATGGCATTCTGCAGTTCTTCTGAATGTCATTTATAATGCTATTTGCTTTGTGGCCCAAACTTCCTTTTTGTTTTCTACAACAAATTTCCAAGAGATGGGAGATGCTATGTAATTAGACCTCCTATTACTTTTACTTCATATGATATGATTATGTAGTTATAAGTATAATTATGCATCCTGGTGCTCGCTTAAGAGGTTTCTTTTTCCGAAATATTGTGCAATAGTGTATTATTTTTAATGTATGTGCTCTGAACTTTGCAGCTGTTATGCCAATGCTGTGCTCCAGTGCCTGACATTTACTCGGCCTCTCACTGCTTATCTTCTTCAGGGACTCCACTCCAGAACATGCACGTTTTTCCCTACCTTTGTCTCACTGTCTTGCTTTTGCTTACTTGTTACCCTCGTTAGCATGTCTGGGTAATAGTTTTATATTTTGTTTTATTTGTTATTTTTGTTTCCTCAGGCCAAAAGAAAGACTGGTGTTTTACATGTGAGTTTGAAGGTCTTGTTCTGAGTGCAAGAGAAGGAAAGAGCTCCGTATCTCCCATCAAGATACTGTCTCAAATACAAAACATTGGAAGCAATCTTGGCTATGGGAGAGAAGAAGATGCTCATGAGTTCTTAAGGTGATCTGTCTTTCAGACTGGTTTTTATCTAAAATTCAGGTTCTGGTTTAGCTTTGTGGAACTTGTATCCTTCATCTTGTTGTGGTCCTGTGTCCTCTTGCACCATGGTCTCAGTTATGCTGCACACAGTCGCTCATGTGTGCCCGTGTGTTTTGTATATGTTCCTGTGCACGTTGACAACTCAAATATAACTTCTTGGAAAATGAACTGGAGAGATCGTTTTTGAAAATCATGATTATTGATGAGGGTTATTGGCAGGTATGCAATTGACAAAATGCAGTCTGTGTGTCTTGAAGAAGCTGGGAAGAATGCCATGGGCCCATTGATGGAGGAAACAACTCTAATACAGCTAACATTTGGGGGTTACCTTCATTCCGATGTAATTGCTCATTGGCATTAAGTTTCTCATTCATGTTGGGATTTTATGATGAGTTTTAAGAGACTGAAGGTAAATAACTTCAAATTCTACGTACAGATCAAATGCTTGAGGTGCCAAGCAAAATCTGAGCGGCATGAGCGGATGATGGATCTTACTGTAGAGATACAGGGTGACATTGGGACACTTGAAGAAGCACTTACCCAATTTACTACTCCGGAAATCTTGGAGGGAGACAACAAATATAAATGTGACAGGTTGGTAGATTTCTGGGGAAAAAAAAGAAAGAAAAATAACCCTAAAAGTTAAATTTTTATGGTTTTATTGATTCATTTTATATGTCATCATGTTCTAAGATTTTGTTACCATAATGTGGAAAACTTTTCTGCTCATGATACTAGTGCTATTAAGACTTTAGAGGTTTTCGTTTTTGGTGTCAGGTGTGTGACTCAGCATGTTTGTCACCATAATGTCAGAGATGTTTCGTATTTTCAGTGCGAAGAACCCTGATATGATTTTTCGTGCAATAGTCGTTGAGTACTGGCATTATGGTTTAGGTCAATTTTTGTATGCTGCACCACTATAATATCCATGCATTGTGGATTCTAACATGTACGTCTGTGATTACATTACTTCTCTTGTAATTCGAGCTATGGACATGTCCATGGAGAAACTGTAGCCTCAATTTAGGTTCAGATGCTGCAAAAAATCGGAAGTGGAGAGAATTTCATGAATAAAAATTTATGTTAGCTCATACCTTTTTTCAGCCAAGAATGTGGCTGTAATGGAGGCAGAGTTTCCCTACAGGATAAGGTGCATTCAGGGCAGTATCAAGGGGAGCAGGAGTGGGAGTGGAAGACTGGCTTCAACCCTTGGCGAAGCATTGTCAGGGAACGACCTCTAATATATTTAATATTTTTAAATAATCATTTTGAAAAATAAAGTTATATATCTCATATCTTTAAAAGGGAATTTGGTGCCAAATCCCTTCCGAACTGCCTTGCCGATTTCTGGAGGGAGAGGTGTTGGCCTAAATAATGAAAAAAAAAAGAGAGAAAATTAAAAGAAGCGAAAACTGCCACAGGACTTAGGGATCGTCCAAGTCCCAATGATGAATTCACTAATGCTCCCATTGAGGAGGAATGAGTTCTCTACAGTGTTTAAATAACGGAAATTGACTGCTGATTTGGGCACTTGCTGATCCATACGCACTTGCAGATTCCTAAGTCACCTTGCTGATTCCTGAGTTGGCTTGCCGAATTTTGGGTCACCTCCCCTGTTCTGGGTCGGTGTCCGGAATGATTAAAAAAGTGAGGAAAACATGAAAAGAGAAAGAAAACATCGCCTTGGGACTGAGGAATTGCTCAATCTCTATAGCGAACCACTCCTCCTTGGACAATGTAGGTGATTCCCCAATTCAAGGCCGGCTAGGACTAGGGATCCTCTGTGTCTATGCTTACTCGAGGCGATTCCGAGTCGGCTTAATGGTTTTCAATCATGACCATAAAAACCAAAAAGGAAAAATCGTTGACAGGTGGTTGTTTGTTAGAAATAGTCAGAAAGAAGAAATATCAGCACGAAAGCAAAGATGCCGTGTTCAAAATTCAAAAAATTTTGAAATTTCCTGTTGGGTTTGAGATCCCTTCAAACCATGATAGCTTGTGCTCATTTTCAATGGGATCGTGATCCGCCTTCCATAGGGATATAGATCCTTTTTAATCAGGGATCTAGACCCCTTTCAATCAGGGAGCGTGATCCCTATAAGATGGGCATTGGATTTCTTGATGACGGGGAGCCATCTCTGCTAGGCCTTTGGTGGTGGGATTGCTGGGATAAGATTCCTGGGGGAATTGTGAGCCCCTGTACAAGTGCCCTGCACCTTTGGTTACGTTCCATGTTCTCTTGTGTTGATTGTGGTTTGTATCTAAGGGTGATTGAGCAGCATAATATGTCCTGTCCCACTGGTTCGAATGATCTGCTTCAAACTTGTTTTTGAGTTTTTTCTGGTGGAAAGTGTAAAACAAGGCAAAAGTTAAACTGGTTCTGATTAAAAAAAGTTGAGTAGGATGGTCTTTTTCTGATATTTACTGTGCTGCAATCGTGTTTCCTGCTTTCTTATGGAATCTTGGAGTAAAATTCCGCATTCATTTGTTAAGGTTTTAATTATATAAACGTTATAAAAAAAAAAAGGTTTTAATTCTATAAACGCATAGGGCAAGGACTCTTTATTTGAGAATTATGATTTCCATGTGATTTTAGAGGGGAAAGTACCCATTGGGTTTTGGAGTCTAGGGCTAGAGTTTTGGGAGAGCTGATGGAGAGTTCTTCCAAGAAACAAACTTCCTTTCTTACAACTGGACCAAAGCCCAAAGTACAAATGGTGTAGTTTGGACTTTTTAGTCATTATTGCAGTTAGAGGATTATGATTATGGAGCTTTTTAAGTGCTATAAATAATAAAATGATTGGGGAAATTCCTAACCTCAAGATAAGTAGCCTTTAATTCAAGAGAGTGGGTTGGAAAATCATATGGTGCAGTGTGCTTTTGAGGTGAATTTAGATCTTAGGGTGAGTAAGTGAAAGCTTTCAATTGGTAGAATTGATCTAGAATGTGATGGTGGAGGAAAAGGAGAAGGCAGTGGATGTGCTTGGCGTGCCTAAGATTGCGTTGTCCGGCTTCTTAAAACTTTTTGGCCGTTTGGCCATTTGGCTTCTGAATACTTTGGGATTGTTTCTGTCATCCCTTTATCTTTTGTATTTGTGGGCAACATGTCCTTTTTTACTATTGCTGGCTGGGACTAGGAGCCATGTACTTTGGGTTGTGGTTTTTATGTTGTTGTTAAGTAGCACTGTAGATGAACTTTTGACTTGTGAGCTTCTCCAGAATTGAGGCTTCCGTTCTCTAGAATGCTGGTCATTTGTAGGCTTGTGAGATCAATGTTTGTGTAGGCATTACATTAGAGAGCTGTAGGACATACCACAATCAACAAACGCTCTAGTTGGTTTGGGATTTCACGTGTTTCCTTGAATTTGTATAGAAACAAGTTATGCTGGGGGATTGGAGCTGCATATTGAAACCCAAGGTATTTTCTAGCAATCTTTTGTGTTTTCATGGTTATTTGGTAGATGTGGAAAGGGTGGGGCTAGAGTTTTTTTGAGGGGAAGCCATGGAACCTATGGAACCTTTGTACCTCTTCCTTGTGGTCTCTTGCTTATGTTCATGAATGAGAAATAATCCCCTCTTTCAAGTCTTTTTCCTTTCTGTTTTGTAGATTACTTAGGTGCGAGCCCCACAAGCTCAATGTTTCAAGAACAGCAACGGCCCTTAAATGACAATCTTCCAAGTTAGAAACGTAAAATTCAGGACTTCGGCACAACTAGCTGTATATCAGATTACAAATACATGAGACACCTTTAGAAGATGGGATTCCCCTTCATAATGTGAATAATAACAATTGGCAAACATAAAACCAGTTTGATGCTTGTTTCTTCTAACAGTGATGAATTATAGATACATTGAGGATGCAAGTGCTATATGGGAGTGGCTGTTGTGGAGCCGATGGCATTTGTGATTCACCATGGTAATGGACTTGCAGCGCATTCACATAGAACCTGATGGAATCTGTCCCAGGGAGGCATCTAGAGACATACGAGGAAATGTCTCCTCGCTAGGTGTTTGGACTTCATAATTTTGGATATTTGACTTGTTTGGGGCAATAATTGCTGGTGTATCTGGAAATCTGTGGGAGCTAACTAAACCCTTGGGAGGGAGAAAAATGAGGTTCATTGTATCTCTCATCTGAATTAGCTTGTCAGCTTCATCTTTAGAAAGTGCACATTATAGTGTTTTTGGATCGGCCCTTTGCTGAGGCGAGTTACTCGGGCAAGTCCAGCCCTGTTTTTAAAAAATAAAAATAAAGACGATAATGTATGTATATACCAAAATATGTATATCTATAGGGAAATGCTAGCGTAGGCCAGTGGGCCTACAACTACATATGAGCCCAACGGTTCAGATTTAATTTGGGCCAATCCAATGATCACGATTGCATTTTGTATTTGAATTTTAATTTTTTTTCTATAAATCCAAATCACTTGAAATTTTGGACTTGTGTTCTTGAAAATTAAAAGAATCCAATAAAAATATCAAAAAATATTTCATGAGGAATAAATTGACAAAAATACCCCCAAAACTTTTCAGGGGTATTTTGGTCAATTTATATATTACGAATTAATTTTTTAATATTTTTATTAGGTGCGCCTTGATGAGAAGATTAGATGCTTAAAATTTGATTTGAATTTGTAAAAACTAATTAAAATTAAAATACGAAATGAGGTCGTGTTCGTCAGATCGGCCCAAATTCAATCTGGGCTGTTGGCTCATATGTAGTTGTAAGCCCACTGGCCTACGCTAGCATTTCCCATATATATATACATATATATATGGAAAATTCTTCCCAACGCCTATAGGCAAAAATGAATAGTGATTTTGCCTACCTACATCACCGTACAAACATCACCGTACAAATTTCATAGCACGGTCACAATTGTCCGGTAGTGTTTTATTTTTTATTTTTTTTCTACCAATCGGAATGGCCTAAAATTTGGAGGCTATGTACATCTTACTGAGGCGCATCTAATAAAAATATAAAAAACAATTATATGTGAAATTGTTTTTGACAAAAATACCCCGGAAACTTTTTGAGGGTATTTTGGTCAATTTTTTTCATGTAAAATATTTTTTTTATATTTTTTGAAGATTCCCCTATTTTTTTATGAATGTACGCTTCAAATTTCAGGTCATTTCGATTTGTAAAAAAAATAAACAATGAAACACTACCGAACAATAGTGACGGCGCGATAAACTTTGGACGGTGATGGGGGTAGGCGAAATCACTGTTCATTTTCGCCTATAGGCATTGCGTAATGTAATATATATATATATATATATATATATATATATA